CGGTCTTCCCTCCTTGGGCTCTTAATCCAGTCTTGATTGCATCTCCTCTGCTGCTTCTAGCCTAAATTGTAGGTTTCAAGTGATTTTGACTTTCACATCGCTTAAAATTCAGATTGCTTCCATTGGAGCTGTCATTTAACTATGCTGACAACAGGATTCCCCTTCTTGGCTACTTATTTGCAGGCCCCTTCAAAGTAGTTGCAAACCTTCGCCACGGTTGCATTTTTCTGAGCCACCTCCTCTTCTCTCCTCCCGGCTTGTCAAATCTGACAATACATGTCAGCCAAGCGAACAAGTGTGGACTCGTATGGAAGTAGGATGAGTCTTGGGTAATAAATAGTTACTTATTTGATCCACGAATTCCAGTTGCAATGAACCAGCTGGGAGCTTTAATCGCAACTTTCCAGAGGCCTGGCTGCTGTCAGGTAGTCGCTGTCTGTGTGTGCAGGGGAAGGTTAGAGATGGTGTTTGAAGGTGTTGCTTGGGGAAGAAGCAAGCTGTTACTCTAATGGGGGACAGCTGCGACCTATGTCTTTCACCAGTCACAAGGGACCACCAAAGCTGGTTTTCACCCTTCCTACAGAACCGTGCGTTTTACAGAAAGGCACTTGCTATACAAAATCTTCGCTCCCACAGACAGGGTGCCCTTGGAGAGGAGCCTGCAAGTTTGACTTTTTAGGAAGAGAGTCGAGGTTACAGTCTAAGTAACTTTTCCACTTGTACTTATCTGATAAAATTAACAACTGCAGTTCTTACAGCAAAAGGGAAGGTGACTTAATTATAATTCAGTAACTCAGTAGGGAGCCCAAATAATGATTGCAAAGGATGTAAACTGTGCTGTGAGACACCATGCCTGTTTGCACTGCAGCCCTGCTAAGACCCCAGGAGATACTGAAAACAAAGAGAGAAAGGAGGGCACTGGGGGCCCTGTCAGCTGTTTTAAAAAGGTACCATCCCTCAGCTGGTCTGTCAAGCCGCTAGCTGGTGAGCTTACCCATGGTATTGCAGAAGGTCCATCTAAGGTCCATCTGGCTGCTCATTCCAGGGCATGCAGGCAGGTGACCCTGAGGCGCCTCCTGTGTCACGCTCTGCCTGCCGCCTTAAATTGGGCTTTTCAGTGGCTCATGCTGTGCAAAGAACTGGGGTGTCTGGATCCAGGTGGAAAACATCCTTAGGCAACCTCCTCCCAAACAAGTAACCAGCTTTTAGATACCAACTGGAGGAGGAAACAAAGTGTTTCCTACCTAGAAAAGAGGGCAGGAGGGCTGCTGCCTCCGTAGCCTCATCCAGCACTAATTGCTGGTTGTTGAAATGAGCTGGTGCTAGTGGTTTCCTGTGGGCAAGGAAGCTGTGGGGCTGTGTCAAGCCATAAATATGAAGGCTGGGACTCCACATAGCATTAGACTTTGAGAGCTGCATACTGCTTTTACTGCTTTCCTGAACTACCTTTTTCTTTTTTGGCCAAAAACTTTAAAATGAGATTATTAACAAAGATGAATAAGTATTAATTGCATCCTTATGGTTTTCCCCAAGAAAGCTTTAAATTTTAAAATGAGCACTAACAGCATGCTTGTTTGCTCTGACAAGAAGAATCGGGCATTTACACTGAGGAACTGTGCTTGGAGTTCGGCAGTAGGTAGGAAACTGTGCTCAAGATGTATCCAAACCCCAGCTTGTTAACCTGCCCACATACAAGTGCAAAATCGTTTTTGTTGATGGAATTGCTTAAATGCAATAGATACGATTTATTTTTTGTGGATTTTTCTTTAGTTCTTTTGGACACTTCTTTAGTTATACTAACACTTTTTTAACACTTTTTTTGTTTCCCCCTCTCTGACTTTAGCCATTGATGGATTTCTAAAAACCGATGAAAGACAAAGACTGGCAAAGGAGAGAAGAGAAGAAAGGGAGAAATACCTTGGTAAGATGGCAGGAGGTGTATGCATTATTTATGTATATGTGTTAATAGGCTTAAGTTACTAACATGACGGTTTTTTCTGTTCTGAATTTTAAACATTGTGGTTCAATCTATTCCTAGTCTTATATCACTTAAGGTATTACTTTTAAATTAAATTATAAAAAATATATTAATCTATGTTGTCTTTGATTTCCATTTGAGTATTAATATTCTATAATTACAAGTTGAATTTCTTCTTTGATTTACGTACTTTTGAATATAGGTTTATGTGTAAGATACTGTCTATTAGGATTCTGATCTGTAAAAATACCAAATAAGCCTTGAATAATGCTTAGGATAATATGTAGGATGATTTGGTGAAACAGCCTCAATTTTAGTCTATTAAGTGTTAGCCATATTACAATATATCATGGAGTTGTTAAGTATGGCATAAAGCAGATACTTTTCATAAGTTCTTAAATGGTGAATCTTTCAAGAGAATGAGAAAAACTATTAATTCATTGCCTGAATAACATAAGCATTGATTTCAGAGTTTTTAAAATAGTCAGTTGTTTTTAATCTACTAATATCTCCAGGGAAATGTTGAGGAAATGGGGGTGGGGGTGGAAATAGATATATAAGGGGTGTGTGTATATACACAGTTTATTTCATATATACATAATATATGAATGAAATTAGATGTTCAACATTGTTTTGGACTCTCTCTGTATACATGCATATATATATATATATATATGTTTAACAATTAACTTCACTTTTCCTCAATGTAATAACAAGAAAGGCCAGTAGCACTGTTCCTTAAGGGTACCTGACAATAGCTATTAGAAGAAATTGTCAGTGTTTTATGATTTTATGAAATTTAAGCCAGATGTATATTTTGAGGAAATGTCAACTAAAGCAGTATGACTAAACTAAAGTCAACTAAAGCCTGTGAAAAGAATCATAGGAAAATACTCCTTTTCTTGCAAAAAATAAATAAGCAAACTGTTGACCATTTCCTGACAAAACCTGAGGCTTGAGACCAGTGACTTGACATTTTTTAGTACCATGGGCTTGGTGAGCAAGATTCTGTTCTGTGAAAATCTGCTGATGTTTAGTACTTAATATCCCCAGAGGTTCTGTCTATATGGGGCATGCCACCAGCCTGAGTTGTAGCTTACATCTCTTCCAGGTACACTCAGTCCAGACTCTCTTTTCTGTCCTCTTGATTATCTCTTCTCTGCTGGTTCCCAAGAAAGTGACACGATGAGTAGATTAGAAAGGACTTGGATTAAAAAGCAGAAGAGGAGATGAGAGGGAAACTGAGAGCTGGAGAATCTGGGAGTGGTTGGCACAGGGGATCTGGAAGGTGTTGGCTGCCGTTCTTGTCTCCAGACATCATATGTGCCTTCTGGAAACGTACTTTTTTAGGGTTAAGACCATTTCTAGAATGGGGAGCTCTGGGTTTTGGTCTGTAGCAAATTTGTTCTAGAAGTTCAGAAAAAAGCAGAAAGTTCCCCAGAAGGACGGATCTTTATGCAGCCGGCAGGTACTTTGCAGCAATACAGAATAACCTTTTCACCAAAGCCAAAACTCATTAATCAGTAGTTTAGTATCCCTAAATTAAGGAACAAGAATTGTATGTATGTTCATGATGACAGAATGGTTTGCTTCACTGTCCAGAATCAGTCCCAAGTTTCACCTACTTACTCAGAAGGTAATCTTAGCACAATCTCTGGACACCTCACTTTATTTTTGGTTTTTATCAACTCCAGCACGCTGTTTTCACCTGCTCTACCTGACATGGCTAGTAGTTGTTAACAGTTAGTGACCGGTCACTTGTCTTCCACTGTTTCTGAGATAACTCTATCTGTTGGCAAGTCTGATTCTTCATGTGTACAAGTCCAGGCTCTCCTGCAGGACTGACATCCCCCTCATACTGCCCTGTCCTTGGGGGGGAGGAATAGTGAATTCTCATAAGGCAAAAGGGGAAGAACGCATCAACTGTATTTCTGACAAGAATAAGGTAGAAGGTGTTCTGTAAAGCAGGTTGGATGTGAGGAAGAAGTATTTTAGAAGGATCCAGTATTCAAGGGAAAGAAATGCATGTCTTGGAAAAGGATCTGGTGTTGGAGGGATGCTGGCTTGAAACCAAGGATTCAAGGGTGGAGTGGGGCAAAGAGGGACTGAGGGTCATGGCTGTAGTTAAAGAGTCTGGAGACAGGAGCTGAGGGGGAAAAAAGGCTGATCTGAGAAGAGGGAATGGAGATAGCGGGGCAAGAACCTACGGCTGATGGGAAGATACTGAGAGAGAATGAGGAGGGCGAAAATTTGCTGTACAAGGAATCAGGAACTGAAAAAGCAGACTGAGGCTGAATAGATGAGCAGGTTGAAGGACTAGTTCTTGTATAAACAGTGTTAATTCTGGCTTTCCCTAACTTTCAAGTTCTTAGCCTGGCAACTGTGAGAATATTCCTTCTTTGATATCGGCTGTATGTGTGTTGGTATGTGACACTACAGACTTTTGTGTATACAGGCATGCTTACTGAACTCCTCTTCCCTGCCTTTTTATGGAATACACTTGCATGAGAAGTGGATTTTTCCTCATGATTTGTCACATTAACTTCCGATACTTGTTCTCCTATGTAAACCTGAAGCAACAGTCCTGTATGTAATGTTGCAGTCAGCTTGTTGTTACAGAAATTCAAATGTCTCAAGAAGATTATCATAGAATCATTTGGTTGGAAAAGACCTTTAAGATCATTGAGTCCAACTGTACCTGCCCACTACTAAACCGCGTCCCTAAGTACCTCGTCTACCCATCCTTTAAATACCTCAAGGGATGGGGACTCGACCACTTCCCTGGGCAGCCCATTCCAATGCCTGACAACCCTTTCATTGAAGAAATATTTTTTATGACTCCAGTTAGAATAAACAACTGTGCAAACCCTCAATAACAGAAGTAATTTTTATTTTCATGTAAAGAGGCAGAAGTGGGTAATTATGTAGCACCAAATTATGAACAGAATGGTGTATTTTCGAAGCTCCATAGAAAATCTGATGTGTGGTGTTTTCATGTATTTATTTTGAAGGCAGCCCCATAATGAGAAGCACAGTTTTAAAGAAATTCGAAGGGCTTTTGCTTCAACACATATAACTGATTCACTTTAAAACCTAGTGGGAACATTCATTATGTCTGAAAAAATAATTTGGCTTTAAGCTACAGAGGGATTTGAAACACAAACAAAAAAAGAGTTGTTAACTATTCTGTACACTGTTTTTACATAGGTAAGGGGCACGAACTATCACCATGTGTGCAAAGGGCTTGCCTATTTATTTGAGCAAATCACTTAAATTTACTAATCATTCCAGCACTTCTGTGCACTGTATTTTTGACCTTGGTGGACTAAAACCCTGTGTACTTGTATTTGTTGTTTTACACTATCATGTCATGTTATCAAATAATTGGAAAGCAGAAGAAAATTTGCATAAAGTGAAATGCACCTTTTTCTCTGCCTAAGCTGCTAGGGAACAGCAGATACTGGAGAAAGAGAGGAGAGCAAAACTTCAATATGAAAAACAAATGGAGGAGCGATGGAGAAGACTGGAGGAGCAGAGGCAGAGAGAGGAGCAGAAGAGAGCAGCTGTTGAAGAAAAACGGAGACAAAAGCTTAAAGAGGAGGAGGTAAGGTCCACTGGGAGATGTATGGCAGAGCAACTCTGTATGATAGCATTAAACATAGCTGAATATTGACATGCATAAAATGTTGAATTTTTTTTTTTTTGGCCCAGAGACATGTGGGCATTACTTCAGGAACCGCAAATGCACATCACCACAGCTATAAGTACTCTACTACTGCTTGTGTATCAAAAACATTTTCCAAAGCTTTTTTTGTCTCTTGATTTTTGTCTGATCTCAGTGAATAGTCATCTACTTATGCTAACGTATCTGGGACTCTGACTGTCAGACAATAAAGCATCAGCTTTGTGGAAGGTAGTTTTTAAAGATGAGTGTTTCCATAAAAGGGAAAGATGATTTTTTTTTTTTTTACTGTTTTGTTTACTGTCCATGAAACTGAAATAATATATATGAAAATGTGTTGTTTTGTTTTTATCAGTGACATTAAATCAGAAATTCTTACTTAAAGCAGTGAAGAATCTAGGTTGTTTAAAACTCTATCACAGAACAGAATTAATCATATATCTTTTGAAGCATCTTCATACCCTTCTTCTGCTTCCCTGCTGAGATCGTTTAAGGTTCTTTTTTGCTCTAGTGAGTTCAATTTCTGATGCAGATCTCTGAATGCTCTGTGTGTGTGTCTCTCCACATGACATTCTGTAGAAAACACTAGCACTGCTACTGCAACTGATAAAGAATTAATGATTTTGGGAAAACAGGGCAGTGGTTTAAAAAAAAAAAAAGGCTAAAAGATATTTCCCTAGTTCCTAGATAAAAAGGCTCTAGAAATCTTCAGTTACTAAGCTTCCTTTTTTTTCCACCCCCCACCTTTTGATCATAATATCTTTGCAAAAGAGGTAAAACGCTTCCACATGGGATCAGAATAACATACTGCTGTCCATTGAAATTTTTTTTGTTTGATTTTTCACTTTAACCTGAAGAGGAGATTGTATCCTGCCATTCGTCTTTCAACTGTAACAGATTGTGGCTTCTGCATAATAGCTGAGAATTCATTTTAAAATACTTTGTCTTGTGGTTTCAAATTTTGCTAAGAAAAATGGAAAAAAAACAGAAACAAAGGGTAGGAGGTCTCTCTCCTTCTGTGGTAAAATCTGACATGTCCCTTCCCCAGTATTTCCTGCTTGTAATAGCCTTTTGCAGCTAAGCAAAATTGATCCCCTTTATATGGGGGATGGGGATTGTAAGGGAAAGTGGCAAGTACAAAAATTTTCAAAACCCTGCCCTCAAAATATGCACCAGAGAGGGGCAGGGAGGAGGAGAGGTGTAGGAAGAGCGAGCAACTGACTGCTTTCCCTGCCTGCATGGTCTGCCTGTGCTGGCGAAATGAGAGCAGCGCTGTCGGTCGGACGTAGGAGAGGCTGTGCCAGGTCAGACCCAAAGGGTCTGTTTAGTGAGGACCCCATCTTCTGTAGTGGCCTCCTGCACTTGCCCAGAGATGGACCTAAGAGGCTGAGCACACAATGATGTTTCTCCCAAGCACCAGCAAGCCTGTTACAGCTCCCCAGCACCCCGTACGTGTGATGGGAGACTTCTCTAAAGGTGAGAGAAAGGCTGCCTCTGTCTAAGTGTTTGGTCATAATATGAATACCTCTCCTAGCTCTGCTCACTGCTTAAACTGTCCAAAGCCTTTTGGGAGCCAAGGCAGGCCCAGGCCTGGCTTCTTTCCCTTTGCTTTCCTTTCTTCCCCTTTTCCCCCAGGTTGAGGAACCTGAGGGAAGGCTATGTGAGCAGGAGGACAGGAGAGGATGCTTGTTTGGGGATGGATTAGACCTGGTGGGAGGAAAAATCGAGGAGCCTCTGAAGGAGGGGAGGGTACGTAGGGGAATAATCTGTAGAACAGGAGAGGATGAGGGAAGAAGGAAACTGGGAAAAGGAGATGCCACCACCTCCTGGCTTCCTTTCATGGTTACTTGTCATTACCTCACTTCTTGAATTCCACGGGAATTCTACTAAAGGATCTGCCAAATCCCACCCCCACTCCCCCAGCTCTTCTAATGAGCCCCTCAAACCCCATATGTGTAGTAGCAGTGGAGGTCCGAGTAAGGATGGTGATGAAGCTGCAGCTCCCTGGGCATTGCAAGTTACTCAGTGCTCATGACTCATTCTGAACGTTTGAGGCCTTCTTTACTGGAAGAGCTTTGAACCTGTATTTCCCACACCCAGCAGGGGGGAGGTGTGCCCTAGCCAGTGAGCCAGTATACTGCAGCATGCCCTCAGTGTTTCTGCTGTTAACACTGGTTTACTCTGGGTGGGCACTGGAGCACCCATTTTACCTGCTCATTGGGTGTCCAAAATGCCAAGTAGAGAGATTTTCTGCTTTGCTCTCTGCCTTACTGGTTGTCCTTTGTATCTTCAGTCTTTTTTTCCTTGGTTTTTAGCACAGCAGAAGGTGGTGCATATTTGTGATAGGAACAGGTTATATAAATCCCTCTCTAGAAAATATTGTTGTTGCATTTGTAAGAGTTTGAGAGATGAATGGCTCTTAACAAACTATGGGAACTTTTTGGCTTCCTACATCAGAGTATCCTCTGCTTGGCTGTTTTGCATGCAAAGGACTTCTCAAAAAGCTGGTGGCTAAAGTTTGATTTGTTTTGCTTACTTTTCCCCCTCTACAGTGCCAAATAAGAGATGGTGGTTTTAAAGTCTGTGTTGATGGGGGGAGGTGTTCTGGCAGAGTTCTCCTCTGGGGCAGCTGGAGCTTGTTGCAGAGCACAGTGGAAGTGTGTCCAATTCCTCAGACAGGAGCTGAATAAATGTGCCTGAAAATTACCCTGTCTACACTGACTGCACCTTTCTTATCTGTAGAGGTCTTCAGTAGTACTGCCCTTCCCTCCATATTACTTTTAAAGCTGCCCACTTCCTTTAGTAAAAGCAGCCCCTGAGCCTTGAGGAAAGAAGCATGATGGTGTTCAACAGAAGCTATTAAAGAGTTGCTTTTAACAGTAAGCAGCCAGTGGCTTTGGGACTGGATAAAAGCAAAGCTAGTCGTCATTCAGTTAAAATAATTTTTTCCCTTTCCCTATCTTGAACTTCCATGTGACTTGGAAGTACCTTGCAAATAAATGTCTACCTCTACACAGGGTATTGGGAAGTTTCCATAGAAGCTGTGTTCTTCTCCTGTTCTTGTATTCCACAAGACAACACGAACATCACTTGTACGGGCCATGTCAAGGCTGCTAGTGCGAGTAAGAGCAACAACATCCATCTAGTCAAAGATCCATTTTTAATAAAATGATCAGATTTTGTTAAAAAGGAAATTGATAAAATTAGTACTGATCCTACCAATATACTAATGTTTGAATGAACCATGGCTGCTAGACAGCATTAAATCTAATCCAACACTCAGACTTGAAAGATTGATGTAATGGCTGCTAAATGGAAAAGAATGTCCTGCAGTGTTGGAGATACTGTTTTGGTGCACATTCACTGTTTGTAAAAAGTATGCACTTAAGCACAAGAGAGTGAAAAACTCTGGATGTTATAGCGTTAATTACTTACTATATTATAATTCAAAGGTAATTACTTTTTGAATTATAATACATGGAAATAATAACTGCTTTCCAAACATCTTTTGGCAATTCATGTACTGAGTGGAAATCAGTTGCACAACTTATACCAAAATTTTGCTGCAAGCTGTTTGGGATTGCTATGTGAGCAGTCTCTCAATTTGCTGTGCGGTGGTCATAAGAAGAGTTTAGTCCTCATCACACCACCAGCCGTCCTCTGCTCCCCCTTGCCATTACTTGCCGCTGCAGCTCCCCGTGTACCTTAATGTAGAGCCTTCATTTGTCCCGTGTTGTTCTTTGATGTACACATCCTGCGTAAATTTTCCCTTTCTACACGCCCATAATTATAATTGGTTGAGAGTAGATGTGAATTGTGTTCAGAAGGGTAGTTAAGGATACTGTATTGCTTTTTACTGAGCTTTTTAAATAGAAAATAACAGAGCTCTTTTGTTGCTATGTGGAAGGACCACTCAAAAGATGAAGCCCGCTGATCATATAAGGAAACAGTGAGCTGTTTACATATGGTGCTGATGAATGTGGAGAGGAAGAGGTTTTTTGGGCTCTTTTAGATGTTCGTATTGTAGGTGTAAGGCAGATTGTTTTAGAATTGTTGGCATGACTTATTTTAAGTCATAATACTTGTAAAATGAATTTTTTCCTTGTTTTCACATGCATGTCATATTTACAGAGAGAACAGGAAAGTACTTCAGTCAAATTACTTGTATTCCCACTATTGGTTTTTGGGTTTGTTTGGTTTTGGTTTTGGGGGGTTGGTTTTTGTTTGTTTGTTTAATTCAGACAATGCAAACATTTCTTCTGTTGCTTAGTCTGAGGAAAACCTGGATGAATGAATAACTATGGAGTTTGGGAAGTAACATGTATATTTTAGATACTAGCAGTAGATGGCTCTCTCTTTATGGTTTTACTCATTCTTAATTTAACCTACATGTAAAGCTTGTACGTTATAGTTTTTTGTGGAAGCTCACTGTATCTCTAGTGCAGAGATTACTTCCTCTGTCTAGCTGTTAAGAGTTCCCAAATAAGGATTACATGGATAGTTTGATATTCTTTTAAAAAGGTACTTCATTGGTAGCATAGATAGGAAGGGTATTGTGCATTGTTTGCTGATGAAGGAATGCTTTGTCTTGTTGTTCAGTTTTTGTCGCAGACCAAAATTATTAATGTATGTGGTGTTTATGCTATGCTGCTGTGTGTCTTATTGTTTTCTCTGGCGTTTTAGTTTTGTGCTAACTTAAAAAGGTTTTTAAATAACTATCCTTCCTTTGTGAAAAATGGCCATGGTATTGTTCTTTATCTAAGCTATATCTGCGGGGCTTCATGAGGTTTAATAATTATGTTCTTTATGTGCTTTAATGAAAGGCTCTTTGCAAATTAAAATTAATGATTCTCTCCACATCATATAATTGAAGACTTCAACCTTATATTGTCGGTAGTATGGGCTTTCAAATATGTATGAAAAATTATTTAATCTCTTTAATCTATTTCAGCATGCATTTTATTATTAAAACAGCGCTTTCGTAGTAGGTGGTATAAGTGTATTCTGTGGTTTGCAAACTACAGAATGTTGCTGGTCCTTGCTCCAAGCAGCATTAAAAAAAAACCCAAGCCCAAACATAAATCACCCAGATAATTGAAACTTGACTGCTTTCATCTTATCTTTTTTGATTAATGTATAACAATATTCATTAGATACGGAAAGAAAGAAAGATTCTGTGTAAGTGTATGCTTTAATGAGAAAGAAATGGGAGGGTCATTTTCCTTTGTGAAGAGTGTGGGTAGAAAGGTATATTGGGGCAAGATGCATAGAAGAAAGTAACGAAAAGCAGACTGGAGAGAAGAACTGGTGATGAAATAGGAGGTGGGGTTTGGAAAAGAGTAAGTACAGAAAAGAGACTCAGAATTAAATTAATATTGGGAGGTGGGTAGTTTAAGGCAAAAAGTGGGAACTTGAAATGCAAAGTCAGTGCACACAGCTTTCAAACATGAAAATTGCATCATCAAGTAGCAAGAGAAGAAAGAAAGACTGTAGCAAACTAAATCAGAGGGGAGTGACTTTGGATTCCACAGATTGGAAGATGGCTTTCTTTTCAGGTCTAAAGTATGGACAAGAAGTGATAGTGTATTCAAAGCCGTGTGGTTTTTCTGTGCTGTTGCAGAAGAGGCTGTGCTTGAGCTTTGTGATGCTTCGTGCGTTTGGTCTGCAGGGAGAAAAAAGGAGGAGGAAAGAAGCAGAGCACTCATTTGCGTGCCTGCCTGGACACTGATGGCACCGACCAG